GAATTGACTAAAGATGGTGACAATGAAAATGAGGATCTTGAAGAGTTAGCTACAACTTCTAACATGCAAAACTGTCATCTAGCTGAACACGAAGGTTCAAAGATTGAACTTAAATACCTTTTTACACATGCTTTATCACAACCTTTATTTGTTCGTACTCTTCAGCAAGATGTTGAGAATAATTTTGTAGTTTCGAACAATTAGGACCAATTATGATATAAAATGTAACGCAACTGCTATTTGGTTGATAAATTTTATTATAATAAAAAAAAAAAAATTAGTTTTGCTATCAACATTTGCATTTAAAAGATTAATTATAAAACATCTTGGCATAATGTAATTAGAATAAATAATAACATTGAATTTTAATAGATTTAGTTAGCAATATAGAAATCGCTGAAATAAAAACCCCTACAATAGTAGATTTACCAAATATTATATGTACAGGATCTATATTGATCAAATCTGGTTTGTTTAAATATCTAAGCTTTCTTTACAAATGCAAAATATCTTATTGACTTAAACTCTCAGGCGCGTATTAGATAGATCTTAAAATTGATGAAATGTAAAGGGCTTGCGAAGAGAATTGGACTTTTAGCTACAAATTATTGGTTGATCTGGTTACACAGACCAATATGACCAATATGACCAATTTGACCATGGTCGAACTGGTCATATTGGTCATATTGGTCTGTGTAAGGTTGATCGGATTATACAGACCAATATGACTGATTTGACCAATATGACCATGGTCGAACTGGACATATTGGTCATATTGGTTTGTGTAAGGTTGATCGGATTACACAGACCAATATGACCAATTTGACCAATATGATCATAGTCGAACTGGTCATATTAGTCATATTGGTCTGTGTAACTAGATTATTTGACCGATTTGATCAGTATTACAAGATCAGACCAAACTGGTCAATGGTCAAATTGGTCTGGTCAAATGGTCAAATTAGTCTGGTCAAACTTACTCTGATTATAATATAGTTTTACATTCTTCTAGTATAAGCTGGTACAATTAAAGCTACAGATCTGATTATTCATCAAATTATATACAGTCTGCTATAACATATTTTATAAAATTTGAATTTCATCATTAGTGAGATTTGAACTCTTGTTCTGCTGCTTGGGGATGCAACAACTTATCAACTTCACTAAGTTACTACATCCTTATAAAATATATTTATTAATTGATGATTCTTCAGTCAACTAAAGAATGATCATAGTGAAACATGATGCGGTTCTATATATAAATTACTATAGGTGCGAAAGTAGAAATTTTCTAGTGATTGTC